ATCTTTAAATAAATATTTGGCAAAACTATACAAATTCTTTACAAAACGTTTCTACAATTGGCCAACTATACAAAACGTTTTTTCTCTCCCTATTTATTCCTATTTGGTAAGCTTTGGCTAGCAAATAATTATTAAGCTTTGTTTGTCTTCAAGTAATTATGAAGTAACATTACCGTTAATTAACAATCTTCCAATGAAACACATTTTAAATTGATTAGATTTGACATAATTGCCAAATCTTACCTTTTGCCAATTAGCATTTCCGTTATTTTAAAATTAATAATATCTGATTAGATTTGACATAATTAACGGTAATTTAATTAATTAACGAAAATGCTAATCAATTTTATTTCTATTAGGTAAGATTTGGCAATTATGAGGTAACGATACTATTTTTATCAAGTAACGGAATGACTTACCTATTTATTCCTATTTGGTAAGATTTGGCTAGCAAATAATTAGTAAGTAACAATAACTATACAAAACGTTTTTTCTTTACAAAATTTCTTACCTAATGAAACACATTTCTTAAATTAAAATTTATTCCAAATCTTTAACTAAATATCCTCAAAATATTTGAATTGCATTCATATCTGTATAAATCCTACTCACCTTCTCTCGTTCAATCACTCATCCAAACTCTAAACCTCCAATAACCTTAATATCTCTTCTCTCTATTAGAAAAAAGTTTATTAATATATTTTCTCCAACATCTAGCCCCAGTTCACAAGGAAAACACATTTCTTAATACCTTCTCTCTATTCGAGTGGTCTGGGACCTCTCTATTCGAGTGGTCTGAGGAAAACACATTTCTTAATACCTTCTCTCTATTCGAGTGGTCTGGGACCTCTCTATTCGAGTGGTCTGAGACCCCCATGAATGTGTGCCTGTCTACGATTCTACAAAGTTGGTTATGTTATTTTAAGAAGGTAAATTTCTCCCAAGTTAGTTATGTTATTTTAAGAAGTATATATTTATCGAAAAGTCTAATGCTAAGTATGAGAAACTAATAATATTTATTTTTAAGCTTGAAGAGAAACTGATAGAGGCATAGGAGCAAGCATTCCACTTTTGTGAAAAGGAGGTATTTGTTTGTTGCAATATTTCTATTTTTATTTTGGGAGTTTCTATCTATTTTTGTAGCTATATCCACATCATAATATTTTTGGATAGGTACACGTGCTTTGCACATTTCATACCATAATTTGATAGCTAACTTAGCATATATACAGCACAATGCAATATGTAAAATTCGTATCACCTCTTCATCACAGTAATATGAAAATGTAATTATTTCATGTAATTTTCATATTTTATTGATATCTAATTTCCATATATACAGCAAAATAACTTCACATTATGAGAATTACCAAGTCATAACATGATACTTGAAAATTCTCGCTCATCGCTAGACTAAATTTCCTTCATTCTGCATATGTATATATGAATAAATTGTTCCATACAGTTACTTATATTACTTTGCTTTTGCATGTGTTTTATTTCAACAGACTAGACCAGAGATGACTTTTGATAGAGGTTTATGCTTGTTTATAATAACTAGAAAAAATGTTTCCTTGGAAGAAAGACAATTATAAAATCGTAATTATTAATAATTATTTAATATAAATTTGCAGATGGAGAGACGCTCAAGAAAGCAAAGCGGCATAATTACTTGCAAGATTATTATACCAAATGCTCATCGAAGAAGAGGCGGAAAATTCTTATATAAAATAGATTAGCCATTGAAATAGGATGAATAAGTTCTCAGTGCCTTGAATGGATCTCATAGTCGCCGCTAAACGAGAGTGAAAGTGGTTACTCGTGCTATGTAGTTGGGGGGGGGGGCATCAAGAATATCAATTTCAAGGTATATTCAACACACTAAAAATTAGATAAAACTCATGGTATACAAATTAAATACTAATCGCTTAATTTACTTTATAGGAAACACATTCCTACTAATCGCTTCCTGACAGGAAGTTACATCAAATGAAAGTAGTCCGATTTATATGGTAGAGGCAAGAATATTGAACATGAAGTGCCACATTTTGGCTGGCGATAAGATGGAACCGAAATCCAAATTGGCTCAACGGCATGTCCATTACCAACTCTTGTGACTCATGTTCACAGTCCAACATACAAAGCAATAGAGTTCCGAAAAATATCCGAAAAATACAAATAGTCTAGATTCTCATTCACCTCATTTGGAGGCTAGCTAATTGATAAATGTTTGGCATCATCGACGAACGGTGTTTATACATTTCGAGCACAAGGGCAAATTTACCATCATTTACTGGGTTTGATACCAAACACAGATAAACCTGCTTTTTTCCAATTGTACTTTCATGATGGTGATAATGAGCTTCACAAACGGATGAAAATATTACAAAATAACATAATTGATGAGGACGTTATGAAAATGGTGATGGAAATCTTGAAAGATAATCCATATGCTATATTCCTTCGTTCATTGAGAGATCTTGAATCATTCAAAGATATCCGTGTTTGTATTGCTACAAATACCAAGCTTGATCAACGGGTCTATAATACACCAACATCCAATGAAGTTGCTGCCATATGGATTGAAGGGAATAATTCAAATGTTCCATTTGAAAGGGAGATTGTGATTCATGAACACTCTGGTCAAAGACATTATGTGAAGCATTATTATGGTTGCTATGATCCATTGCAATACCCGCTTTTATTTACTTGTCCCATTAGAATAAGGACCGGCGCACACTCTAGCTATTTTCTTATATATATTGAAAATTTCTTTCTTCCTTTAGGGGGTGTTAGTCAATTGGGACATTTTCATGCAAAATGGGATAATTGTTAAAGTGGAATAATTTTTCGCTAGTGGGATATTTTAGTGGGATAAATAGGAACAATTTTGTGAAGCGGGATATTTTGATAAAATAACGTGGGATAAATTTTTATAATCATGAAGTATATATTTATGCATTTTGAAGATATAAATACTATTTATATATTTTAAACTTACTATTATTGATTGATAATTGTTTATAATAATGTTCGTTACTATTAAATAACTTTTGGTTAGACTATAAGATATTGACAATTATTATTATAATGATGGTCTAATGATGGTGATAACCATAATAAAAAAGAAGTAAAGAAAAAAAGAAATATAAAAAATAAAAAATAACAAAATTAAATACGAGTTCTAATGGGACAAGTTGCTCAAGACAGACCTGATTTGACATCGCGCGTATTCCGTTCAAAACTTGAAGACCTAAAATATCAACTCTTCAAAAAGAATGTCTTTGGAAGAGTTGGAGCGCATGTGTACGTGATCGAATTTCAAAAAAGAGGGCTTCCACATGCTCATATCTTGGTTATATTGAAAGAAGATTGCAAAATCTTAACTCCTGACCAGTTCAATAAATATATTTCAGCAGAAATCTTAGATGTATCTACTCATCCAAGACTTCATGAAATGGTTGTCAAACATATGATGCATGCGCATGGACAACCCTTGCATGGTTAATCAAGAATGTAGACATCATTATCCACGACCTTTTTCCTCTAAGACAATAGTTGGTAAAGATTCATATCCAATTTACATGAGGAGAAATAATGGTAGAAAAGTATGTGTACGTCGAGCAGAGTTGAACAACCAATGGGTTGTTCCTTATAATCCATATCTCCTTACCAGGTACAATCTTCATAATAGCTTTAAAGTTTATTATTTATGAGAACATTTCAAGTTGAATTAGACTTGAAACAAAGCACCAATCATTTGAAAATCTCTTAACACATGCACCATACCTTCTTAACAATTACATAAAATAAAATATACTATGTGAGAAAATCTCTAAATATCATATCGTCATATCTTCTTAACAGGTACAATTGCCACATTAATGTTGAGGTCTGCTCAAGTGTAAAAGCGATCAAATATTTATATAAATATATATATAAAGGGCACGACAAGATCTCTATCTACCTTGCACACAACGAAGAGCAAAATAAGTTTGATGAAATAAAACATTTCCAAGATGGACGGTGGGTGTCAGCGCAAGAAGCATTTTGGAGAATGTATGAATTCAAGATGAATGAAACTACTCCTCCAGTCATTAGTCTTCAATTACATCTTCCAGATAAGCAATCAATTTGTTATTGGCAACATCGAGATCTTCGTGATGTAATAGGTTCAGAAAGATCATCAAAAACTATGCTCACTGAATTCTTCACAAAATGCACAACAACTGAAAATGCAAGGAAATTTCTATACGTCGAATTTCCTGAACACTACGTGTGGAGTAACCAAGCAAAGATTTGGTCTGATCGAAAGCACAAACTTGTCATTGGTCGTATAAACGCTGCAAACCCAAAAGAAGGAGAGAGATATTATTTACGTCTATTGTTAAATCATGTGAGGGGCCCTACTTCATGGGAATATCTTTTAACAGTTGATGGTATTGCATATAAGTCCTTCAAGGAAGCTGCACAAAAAAGAGGATTACTAGAAGCTGATGATAGTATTTCTGATTGTTTAGTTGAGGCCACTACCTTCCAAATGCCTTATGCACTACAAAGATTATTTGCCATTATTTGCCAACCATCAAATTAAAGAAAATTATGGAACAATCATTTTGAAGCGATGGCAGAAGATTTCAAGGGAGGAGTAGATGAATACATGCTACCAGCTCGTGTTGCATGGACATTAAAAAGCATTAGTCTATTCCTTGAGAGTATGGGTAAACATATTGCAGATTATGATCTACCATTACTGATACATGATGATGTTGACCAATGTCAAACTTTACCGAGAGAAATTATTGATGAAAGGGAGATAGACATTCCATTTGAAGATTTTCATGCTCAATCAAAGTTAAACCCAAGGCAAAAACAAGCCTTCGATATCATATTAGATAGAGTCAAAAAAAAATCTGGAATATTTTTTGTGGATGGTCCGGGAGGAACAGGTAAAACTTTTCTTACGATTGGCATCACTTATAATATGGGATGAATCACCTATGGCAAAAAGATTTGCGATTGAGACGGTTGACAGAACATTGAGGGATGTAATGGGTGACAAAAGATTTTTTGGTGGAAAAGTAGTCGTGTTTGGAGGTGATTTTCGTCAAGTTCTACCAGTTGTTCCACGGGGCACTAGAGCAGAAACAATCAATGCAAGTCTTATGAAATCATATCTCTGGGAAAAAATGGAGAAATTATCTCTCACTATTAATATGAGAGTAAGAACTGATCAAGTATTTGGAGAGTTCTTATTGCGCGTTGGGAATGGAGAGGAACCCACAATAGATGAGAATTTGATACTTCTTCCACATGAAATGGTAGTAGAATATGACAATGATGAAAACTCTGAAAAAAATTTGATTGATGCTATCTTTCCATCATTACAATCAAATTCGTCATCTGCTGAATACATGACACAACGTGCTATTCTTTCAACAAGGAATGAGTATGTTGATGGACTTAATGAAAAATTAATTGCATTATTTCCTGGTGAAGCTAGAACATTCTTTAGCTTTGATGAAGCAGTAGATGACACAAATAATTATTACCAAGAAGAGTTCTTGAACACCTTAATGCCGAATGGACTCCCGCCTCACAAATTGATTCTTAAAAGAAATTGTTCGATCATGCTGTTACGTAATCTTGATCCATCTAATGGAATGTGCAATGACACACGAATGATCTGTAGAGGATATGAACATAATGTTATCCATGCTGAAATCACAATTGGTCAACATTCTGCCAGAAGTATTATTGCCTCAAAGGTAAATCACCTCATCAAAATCATGACTCATTATTTTTTCATTCTATGATGCACATTTTGTACAAATTAACTTTCAAACAATTATTATCTAACACAATATTCTAATATGCAGCGAAAATGTGTATTAAAGTTGTTAACTATTTACAATGCAACGGATTATCTTTGATCTCAAAGGTAATTTCCCCATTTATGTAACATTTATAGTTAGGTTTGATCTTCCATAAATTTATGATGCCTGATCATGCTCGATTCAGTTCTGTTTGCAGGTCATGGACTCTAGCTATTATAGATCAAATTGCCTTGCTGCAGTCCGATTCCCTATGGCTCTCTACAGTTTGACAAAGATGCATCTTTTGAAGTTGATTAATCCTGCTAAAATTGAGCTCCTTTCTGTCTATTTATATCAAACTTAAATAAAATAGGATTATGCTACATTAAGTGAACATATAATTAAATAATTTCGGTTACTTCATTTATTTATAGTCTTTTTGATCAATATACTGGTTTTTTATATGCCAAATTAGTGTTTTTTATTATGATATTTATAACCCTATAACATCTATTTATATCATAAATAATACATATTATCTATGACATCTTTCATGTATATGTCAAGTAGAAAAAAAATTAATTAATGCAATAAAAGCTATAGGGCTACATATAAACATGAAAGTATTTACACGTGCAACGCACGTGCACCATACTAGTATATAGTAAATGCACATGAGACAACTAATGAGGAAGAAGAACACACCATGATCTTCCTTCATCTCAGCAATTGTTGTCTAAAACATGGAAGATTACCGATCAATTTATAGTTGATTTACATCAAACCCTAAAAGATTCCCTAATATCTCATCAAGTACCCGGATCGTGGCAATGGATCCTCTACAGCATGAAGAGGACGATCAAGGGAAAGGGCCTTTCTCAGTTTTTTTTTTTTTTTAATTCTCGCCCTGTATTCCTTGCGAGCAAGTCAAGTTGTGTTTTAGTCCACTAAATATCAGAAACCCTCTTAACTTTGGACAATTAAAAGAAAACCCCCATGACTTTCAAAATATCAGAAAAGCGCCCCCTAACTTTAGACAGTTATCAAAAGTCCCCCTCTAGCTTGTAAAATATTAGGAACCATCCGCCCGCCTTTAGTTTAGATTTTATTAGGAAACCCTCTAATCAATGTTAATCATAATTTCATTTGGCTGGATAAAATTACACATCAGAACATTTTCATTAGTGAAAATTGGGATTTCACACTTTTTTAGAGGGGTTTTATTAAAAAAATTTAGAGTTAAAGGGGGGTTTTCTAATCACCCTTAAAATTAAAGACCATTCTTATATTTGAAAGTTAGCGGGTTTATCTAATAATCATCCAAAGTCAAGAGTTTATATTTTGAAAGTTAGAGGGTTTATCACAATATTTAGAGTTAAACGTGGTTTTCAGATGACCGTTTCTTATACTTTGGACGATCATCATATAACCCCAAAACTTAATTAATATTTTATGAGTAAACCCTCTAAACAAAATTAATTGCAATTTTCATGTGGGTAGGTAAAATTACACAAAGAAATATTTTTACCAATGAAAATTGAGATTCATGCTTTTAGAGATGTTTTCTTAAATCGGTTTTTCTATAGAGTGCCCATGGGCACTCTACAAGAGAGGAGAGAAATAAAGAGAAATAAATTATGCACATAAATTAATGCAAATCAGGAGGGGCCCATGAGCTATTCATTTCTCTCTCCCTCTCTCCTCTCTTATAGAGTGCCCATGGACACTCTATAGAAAAAACCTTTAAATATCTCAAAGTTGGCCTTTTACTAATAACTCTTAAACTCAAGGCTAAACTGCTACTACAATTTCTCTGCTTAGTCACTTTATACGACAAATTTTATTTTGTAGAAGAAAAAATTCATAAGTTACTAAGAAATTAACATGTTACCATCGATCATGCAAATGTAAAAATTTTCACCTAAATGTTCTATATGACACTAACATGTTTAATTGTAGAACTTTCTAATCATTAATATTTGTGAAATTTATCTTTTAACAGATTCCAAATCTATTTTAAAGTGGAATTAAAATAAATTTGAAATGGAATTTTGGTTGATTTAATAACAATATTTAACAAATATTAATAATTCAAAAGATCTAAAAATTAGCATGTGAGTATGATTGAGAAATATTTGGATGAAAATTTTCACATTTGCATGATCGATGATACTAACATGCTAACTTTTAAACAAATTATGATATTTTTTTTGCCAGAAAATACATGTAATGGGCGTTTTTGTGATATTTTGATATTCATGAAGGCCTATAGGATAATCGTCTAAAGTTATGGTTTATCTTTGAGTTGCAAGGCTCAGACTTGCATTCTCAAACAAATTCATACCGCGAAATAAGCAAGTGAAGCTTGCGAGTAACTTATCTTTATTAATCGCCAGTTCTATTGTTAAAGAATCATTGCAGATGATTCCTTGTGTCAAATTAGAAATTTTGAGGAGTACAAGTAAAAGATATTATATTTTACCTTTCCACCAGTTGAAGACAACACAGGAAAAAAGAAAAAGAAAAATAAAGATGTTACTTTTATCCTAGTAGAACTAGTAAAACTTGCCGTGCTGATCAACCAAATGTTGGAATAAATGAATGTTAGAGGGCTTTTATGGAAAAATATTATTTAGTGGTTGAATTCCATATATAAAAATTAAAATGTGTTTAATTAGTAGTATGTGAGTTTTAGTCTCACATGGGCTAATTAAATGTATTTTAGTTAGTTTAAATTAACACGTGTTATTTATGGTATAACAAATGTGTTAGTATTATACATTTGTGTTGATATATAAGCGAGTATGCGAACAAGAGAGCGGCACGTGCGAGTTGTGTTGGTATATAAGCGAGCGTGTGAGCAAGCGACCGAGCACGTTTGAGCAGCACGTTTGAGCGGGCTCGGGTGCGTGGTTCGGCGCGTGTGCTAGCGCGTGCTCCTTTTGCACGTGTTGTGCTTTAAACCAGCTAAACGTTTCGTACGCTACAAACGTTACAAGAATTAAATAGGTTTTATTGCAGATGTTACAAACGTTGCAATAACTGGAATTCAAATCTTTGTCTCCCCTGAACCTTATGAAAGAGCTTCTTCTGAATATTTGAAAGACACAGAAAACGAATTCTCAGGTCTTCATCTTCTTCTAATAATTCTAAGATGTTTAGTATTGGAGATTTTGGCAAACTGAAGAAATAATTGCGATGTTCACAAGAAGAGAGCGTTTCTTTTGGGCTGCAGTCATCTCATCTTTAGAAGTACTGTGCAGACTCAACACTATCGTAGGTGAGACATAGTTTCTTCAAGGTCAATCCTCCGTTAAGAGGGCGATTTGACACTTCTGTAGAGTACTTCGAACTTGAAATGATTTAATAAGATGTTTCTAACTTTCTGTTCTTTTCTTTCATTCCTGTATGGTTTGTTCTGTACTACTTTGAATCTGTTTTTATGCATGTTTTTCCTAACGCCAAATACCATAATTAGGAGTTAGTTTCTATATTTTATCATTTTTATACATTACGTTACGCTACATCCTATTCAAAAAGTTACATCGAAAGATGAAGAAACCTAGGGATATAATGAAAAAAATAATTAAAAAGTCTATTAAGAATATTAAATTAGAAATTTAAATAAAAACTCATAACAAACGTAATTAATAGCCATAATTTGGAGAAAAATTATAACTTAATATAAATTTAAAGAACTAAAAAAAATTGTTAGATGCATAACTAGCATCAAAATTTCCTGTTTATTTCCGTTTTTTAAAGTTATTATGGAAAATTTGCAGACCGGTGAATTTGGACGAACCATGTCAAAGTATTTACATAGTTCTAGTGTTCATTATTGAATAGTGGAATTACATAATGAAATTGTCAGCTTAAAATTAAATTGCATATACAAGCATCAAAACCCTTGTTTTTTTTTCTGTGAATCAAGATCCTTTGGAGGTCCTTTTGAGTTGTGAACATAACAAAGATTAATATACTGCCAGCTAAAAGGTAAGAATATAAGCTCAGGTAACCATGAGCATACTTCATATGGCAGTTACTGCAAAGCCAAAAATTATAATGGCAGATTATGTTGAGGTTATTAATACGTGAGTATAGTTCTACATTGGATAAAATAAGAAAAATTAATGGACTTAAAATAGGAGTTGGTGCCAATATAGTAGCTATTACTTTGTGCTTAAAATTGGTTCAAAGTTTTTATTTAAGACTCATCAACTCTGGATTGTGCCCAATTATTCTCTACACATATTCCTGCTAAATGCATCAATATGCCATTATTTTGTTGTAAGCTTCAATTAACTCCAGAATTTTACCTACACTTAGTTTTGTTTAGTATACTGTCAGAAATTTTTTGTCTTTTGTCAATTACCGTAGGTTTCTGTAGACTTTGAACATGAAAAAATTCTACCTACATTTTGTTTTGTCTAGTATATGTTGTGCGCAGCGGAAGCTTCTTGTGCAACACGAACAATAACTCGAGATAAATCACAACCAATAAGCAAAACACAACCACAGCAAGAACAAACGATTTACGTGGTTCGACAAGTTGCCTACGTCCACGGGGCAAGGAGGGGGTTCTTACTATTAGAAATCAGAGAATACAAGTAGAGTTACAAATCTCACCGATCAAACCCTAAAACAAAGCTCTAGATCTCTCACAACTCTCCCACAATTGGATGCAATAATTCTCTCTCCAAGACTGCTCAAAATCATCCTTGCTCTACCCTAATTAATCAGGTATAGGGTTATATATCAACTCAAAAACGAACCGGGTCAAAAACCAAAAGCCCAGCCCAATCTAGTTTGCGGTCGACCGCGCAGGTTTCGCCGTCGACCGCGGCGGTCGACCAAACCACAAACCCGAGACTTAAATCGATTACAGTCATCCGCGGTCGACCGCCATCAGCTCCGAATCCCACTGGCCTTCGTGCACGTTCGCGAGACTTTCTGGCTGATCCTTTGCTGTTTACTGCATTTCTTCAATTCAATGCTCCACCGAATGTTTCCACCAAAACTGAGCTGACACCAAATCATCCAATAGTCCCTCAACAAGTCAGGGAACCAAACCAAAGCTAAAACGCGATCTCCCCCCATCTCTGAATCAACAGATCAAACCAGCTGCATCCGAAAGACTGCCTACGTATCCTCTTGCCCAAGGAATCAAGTCGAACGTAGTTCACCCAAATGGCCTCCAAAGACCTCAGCACTGAAGGATGTTCAAAAGCTTTAAACAATGACCAAATTTCACTCCTGAAACAACTTTGGTCAATATATCTGCAGGGTTATCGTTCGTGTGGACCTTCTCTAATATGACATCTCCATCATCCACTTCACGGCCTCCCAGTGACCCTTCCCGGGGTC